CAACTACTACTACACTAAACACTACCACTACTGTGAACTACTAATATAACAACTACTACTACAATACCACTACTGTGAACTACTAATATAACAACAACTACTACACTACCACTACTGTGAACTACTAATATAACAACTACTACTACACTACCACTACTGTAAACTACTACTGTAACTAACAACTACTAAAACACTAACTACTGTAACTACTAACACTACTACTACACTACAACACTACCACTACTGTAAACTACTAATATAACAACTACTACTACACTAAACACTACCACTACTGTGAACTACTAATATAACAACTACTACTACACTAAACACTACCACTACTGTAAACTACTAATATAACAACAACTACTACACTAAACACTACCACTACTGTGAACTACTACTAACAACAACTACTACTACACTAACACTACCACTACTGTGAACTACTAATATAACAACTACTACTACACTAAACACTACCACTACTGTGAACTACTATATAACAACTACTACTAAACACTAACACTACACTACTGTGTGAACTACTAATATAACAACTACTACTACTACTACTACACTACTGTGAACTACTAATATAACAACTACTACTACAAACTACACACTACCACTACTGTGAACTACTAATATAACAACTACTACTACACTAACACACTACCACTACCTAAACTACTAATAAATAACAACTACTACTACTACTACTGTGAACTACTACTACAACTACTACTACACTTACTACACTAACACTACTGAACTACTAATATAACAACTACTACTACACTAAACACTACCACTACTGTAAACTACTAATATAACAACTACTACTACACTAAACACTACCACTACTGTAAACTACTAATATAACAACTACTACTACACTAAACACTACCACTACTGTAAACTACTAATATAACAACTACTACTACACTAAACACTACACTACTGTAAACTACTAATATATAACAACTAACTACACTAAACACTACCACTACTGTAAACTACTAATATAACAACTAACTACTACACTAAACACTAACACTACTGTAAACTACTAATATAACAACTACTACTACACTAAACACTAACTACTACTACTAATATAACAACTACTACTACACTAACACTACACTACTGTAAACTACTAATATAACAACTACTACACTAAACACTACACTACTGTAAACTACTAATATAACAACTACTACTACACTAAACACTACACTACTGTGAACTACTAATATAACAACTACTACTACACTAAACACTACACTACTGTGAACTACTAATATAACAACTACTACTACACTAAACACTACCACTACTGTAAACTACTAATATAACAACTACTACTACACTAAACACTACACTACTGTGAACTACTAATATAACAACTACTACTACACTAAACACTACAACTACACTACTGTGAACTACTAATATAACAACTACTACTACACTAAACACTACCTAACTACACTAAAAACTATATATATAACAACTACTACTACACTAAACACTACACTACTGTGAACTACTAATATAACAACTACTACTACACTAAAACACTACAACTACTACTGTACTAAACTACTAATATAACAACTACTACTACACTAAAACTACTATACTACTGTGAACTACTAATATAACAACTACTACTACACTAAACACTACAACTACACTACTGTGAACTACTAATATAACAACTACTACTACACTAAACACTACACTACTGTGAACTACTAATATAACAACTACTACTACACTAAACACTACCACTACTGTGAACTACTAATATAACAACTACTACTACACTAAACACTACACTACTGTAAACTACTAATATAACAACTACTACTACACTAAACACTACCACTACTGTGAACTACTAATATAACAACTACTACTACACTAAACACTACCACTACTGTGAACTACTAATATAACAACTACTACTACACTAAACACTACCACTACTGTGAACTACTAATATAACAACTACTACTACACTAAACACTACACTACTGTGAACTACTAATATAACAACTACTACTACACTAAACACTACACTACTGTGAACTACTAATATAACAACTACTACTACACTAAACACTACAACTACTGTGAACTACTAATATAACAACTACTACTACACTAAACACTACAACTACACTACTGTGAACTACTAATATAACAACTACTACTACACTAAACACTACACTACTGTGAACTACTAATATAACAACTACTACTACACTAAACACTACAACTACACTACTGTGAACTACTAATATAACAACGAGTACTGCTACCCCTACTAGCATTCATTTAACTCTGGTATCCAACTACCACTGGTCATACATACGTGTACAAAAATGAACTGAGGGATTTCTAACAACAAAGTTACTAATAATCAAACAATAACAGCAGTGAAGTAAGTCAGTAACCGACGATCACCTTCAACTTCTACACCACTAAATTTCGGTACGTAGGCTCACCTTGGATATTCTTTCAACCCTAAAGGCTTCAAATTAATCACATCACTGGCTCCAGGCCCTATCTTGATCGTACACGTGAGAAGATCTAAACTGGGATTACCAGCATCTTCTTCTTCTTCTTCTTCTTCCCTGGATTCCTCCTTATCCTTATCTTTGTTCCCTTCTTCTTCTGATCTATCTTGACCTATTCCTTCGTTATCGTTTTTTGACTCGTTAGATTCATCTTGTTCTGTCGATACGGTGTGAAAATTTAGCATTAAGAAACATATAAAAACAACTGTACACAAATATATTCTAAGTAAATCCATTGATGATGAATTTATTTTGTTAACTGTTTCCTTATTTCAGTTACAGATAAAAGCAACCATTGGAGTGACTTGTATGACGAACTGTTATTACCGTATTTGTGTCAGTAAGTGCGCCGACTGCTGCTGTGTGTTGCCATTGGGTCTTGTCAAGGGAGAGCTGTATTCAGTAACCCAATCGTGTTTCATTTGTAAATAACGATTGGGCTTGTTGACTTTCTCATTAAATGTTGAGAAAAAGCTTCAGCGGAGTTAGTTTGAGGATTATGAGATATTATCTAATAATATTTAATGAAATTAACTGGCAGAGTGAAGGAGGGAGGAAGAAAAAATAGCGGAGGAGGAAGAAAGGAGGGTGATGGGGATTTGGGGGCGGTAGGGGAGACAGTGGCAGAAGTGAGAAGAGAGAGGTGAAAGGAGGAGATAGGAGGACAGCTGCACTTAAGTTAACAACACACCTGATAAAATAATATTTGACAGATACTAAGCATTAAAAAAAAAACAGACCATTTTATTACCAAAGCCAAGAAATGTCTCTCCGGAATAAAAGTTATGGAGCTGTAAACTTTGAGCAACGGCTACTTGCAATGTTGCATCGTGCTTTAGTTCTCTCCACCATTGAATATGCCTTGGCCATCATGACACTCAGCACCACACAAATGAACAGACTGGGGCAAAATCATTGAAAATGAGGCAATGTGTATTATTCTTGAATGCACTAGAGACACCTTCTTTAAATTCAGGCGATACCTCTTGGATTTCCACACAATGGAAAACAGAATGAAGCTATCCAGAGCTGTTGCTTTTCTCAAAGTGAAGTGGAATATTGATACATGATAAGGCAGACATGGTTAGTGCCTTGTGGGAGAGCGTGTTCAGTTCGGAGGAGCAGATGGATCACCACAGTCTGGTGAGATTGATGCAGGGAGGAGTGACGAGAGGTTATGGCAAATGCTCGAATCTCAGAGGAAAGGCAAGACGGACGTTTAATCAGAATGCTACTGGCACAATTAGTATCGGAACTCTTCACTGGCTTCTGAAGATGGGGACGAAGCGCTTATGGGAATGCCCCGAGTGCTGTGATGTCGGTTCTTGAATCGAATCAAATCAATCAAATATATCAAAGTGAAGTCAGACCTCGACGCCCACTTTATGAGAAATAACTAAGGGAGATTTGAACGTGCAACGCCATCTAACATGTTTACCGCCTTACTGACATCAATTTTGAAATTGAATGGATATGATGCTTCCTGCTCCAAACATTAATATTATATTTGTGGAAGCTGTAGAGAGCAGATTATTCGCCTTGTGGAGATTTTAGTCAGAACGCTGACGAAAACACAGATGGAGGTTATGCTATAGTTTACACAGACGGGTCAGTAATTAGGGGCAAGCGAAGTGCATGGGCCTTCACAGTAAGCTCAAGGGGGAAAACCATCAAGGATATGATTGTCGCCTTTGTCGTTACAACTAGTAGCCTTACATTGGAAACTATGGCTGTAACAAGGGCATTAGCTTGGCTTGGTACTCAAGAGCTCACACATGCGAACATACTTAGTTACTCGCTGAATACGCTTTACAAAATCTAGGTTGGATTCATTAGAACAGAATGGATCGCAACACAAGCACTTCGCGAATGACTGCCCTAACCTTTATCTAGTGCGGGTGTTCAAGGGAATGAGCTTGCAGATTATCTTGCAGACACTGCTGCTGCTATGGCTGGTCCAGTACTAGACAGAAGCGATGTTATCAATGCCATGCGCAGAATGTCTAGGCTGATGGATATAGGGGTGCAGCCTAGAGCTGCAGAAAATGAAAATTTCACTAAGTGGACACGTAGTTTCATTAATCAACACAGACCAGGCGTCACCGGTAATTTTACACTTATGGAAGTTTTGAGGAGAAGATAGGAGCACCTATAGATCTGTTCGGAGTGCTGTGATGATAATCCTGACTAATCACGCCATCTAACCCGGCACATGATGTTGTTGTTGTATACTCGATTACTTCATTAACTATTGGTTACGGAAATATACAACATGGCCGACAAACATACACATCTTTTGTAGATCTGTTTAAAGCCACATCAAATTGGTTGATTTATATGGAACGAATGATTGATTACACACTGCAATAAATAAATTTTATATTAGAAGAAACGTACTGTTCATAGACGATGGATGTGAACCCATTAGCAAACCCAAAAGGTGTGAAGTTACTATGTGAGCTTTGTCGAATTCCAGCCTTCATCCAGTGCAAGGGCTGTAAAGTGACGTACTACTGGTAAAGTTCGTCAGATTGACTAATAATTTAGATAATTTTTCGTCGCAGATATTTATAAAGGATTTTGGATCTCAGTCTGATTAGGTTTGAAATTTCTATCAAGAAAAATTTGCAGAAGATGGCTGACGTAGTAGAAACCAAACCATCCGTCAAACTCCGTTTGGTCTAACCGGTACCATCCGTATTGGAACTCTGAGCTGGCTGCTGAAGATAAGGACGGAGCATGCATAGGAATGTCGCGAGTGCTGTGATTTCAATTCTTGACTTAACTAAACTCAAATCAACTCTGTACTATTACATATTTTTCTTACTGAAAAAAAAAAAAAAAAAGATACTTGAACAAGCTTCCCACAGGCCTTAAATACTGTTACAAATATTATAATTGACTTGGTCACATGAATTCTCTATTGTGTATTAACTTTCATGTTTTATGCAAAAAGTTGGCCTGTTGTGCCTTTGCATGGTGGATGGGCTGTCTCCATGCAGGCCGTCTGGCTGATTCATGGTTACCCACTACTTCCAGAGACGAATGAAGCACCCAGGTTTAGCCAGACCCTCCTCCGTTTCCAGCCATGCATTGGACCTGTCTAAGTGGAGTCGTTGTGTATTAACAATATGCAAATCCATCTAATAGATGCTCAAGCCCTTAGTTCATATCTCCACATGCGCCATCAAAACAGGCACAAGACGATTACCGTTTTATGGACAGACCAGAGCAAGTTATTATTCTACGCCTTAGAACAGGACACAATCGACTTCGCAGCCACATGAATACCAACTTTTAAATCGGTGAATCAGCCATGAGCACATGTGGACTAGCACCTGAGACAACAGATCATATCCTCCAAGACTGTCCCAAATACAACACATCCTGGCAAAACTTGTGGCCTCGAGAAACATCAGTTTAAGCCAAACTTTACGGGTTGCTGAGTGAATTACAAAATTCAGTGAAGTTCCTACTAGAGACAAAATTGCAGATATAGATAATCTATTTCAAGCGAACAAAAGAGGAAGAAGATTTAAATAAAATTTTATGACAAAAAAATTATTGCATAAGATCTTCTTTATTTTATAAATGTGTTTTATACAACTTTATAAAATATACAAAATGCTAAATGTTTTGATTTAAATTCACAGCTCCCGTGAACATCAAAAAGCAGATGCGGTTGGAATCCATGACAAAGTTTGTAGCAGACTGGCACTTTTACGGCAACCAGTTCAGTTTTGGCCGTCGAAAGAAGAAAGAGAAAAAAGATACAAGGCAATGCAGCTTGAAAAGGTAAGGTATAATTTTACATATATGTGTAAGAATGAACCAAGAACTGACATTACAGCACTTGGGACATTTCCATACCTGGTCCGTCCCCATCCTCAGCAGCCAACAACGAGTTCCTATACATATGGCAATGGGTGCAACCTGATTGCATTGTTTGTATTTTACAGATATGTTGTTCCTGTCACCATCATCATCAATCAGCAAGTCCTTTACAGAACACCGCTCTCTTCACGGCACGCCTGAAAGTATTCCTTTCACTAGCCAGCTCTCTTCACGGCACGCCTGAAAGTATTCCTTTCCCTAGCCAGCTCTCTTCATGGCACGCCTGAATAATCCCTTTCCCTCGTCAGCTCTCTTCACGGCACACCTGAAAGTATTCCTTTCACTAGCCAGCTCTCTTCATGGCACGCCTGAAAGTATCCCTTTCACTAGCCAGCTCTCTTCATGGCACGCCTGAAAGTATTCCTTTCACTAGCCAGCTCTCTTCACGGCACGCCTGAAAGTATTCCTTTCACTAGCCAGCTCTCTTCATGGCACGCCTGAAAGTATTCCTTTCCCTAGCCAGCTCTCTTCACGGCACGCCTGAAAGTATTCCTTTCACTAGCCAGCTCTCTTCACGGCACGCCTGAAAGTATCCCTTTCCCTAGCCAGCTCTCTTCATGGCACACCTGAAAGTATCCCTTTCCCTAGCCAGCTCTCTTCACGACATGCCTGAAAGTATCCCTTTCCCTAGCCAGCTCTCTTCATGGCACACCTGAAAGTATCCCTTTCCCTAGCCAGCTCTCTTCATGGCACACCTGAAAGTATCCCTTTCTCTAGCCAGCTCTCTTCACAGCACACCTGAAAGTATCCCTTTCTCTAGCCAGCTCTCTTCACAGCACACCTGAAAGTATCCCTTTCCCTAGCCAGCTCTCTTCACAGCACACCTGAAAGTATCCCTTTCTCTAGCCAGCTCTCTTCACAGCACACCTGAAAGTATCCCTTTCTCTAGCCAGCTCTCTTCACAGCACACCTGAAAGTATCCCTTTCTCTAGCCAGCTCTCTTCACAGCACACCTGAAAGTATCTCTTTCTCTAGCCAGCTCTCTTCACAGCACACCTGAAAGTATCTCTTTCTCTAGCCAGCTCTCTTCATGGCACACCTGAAAGTATCTCTTTCCCTAGCCAGCTCTCCAGCCCCATGTGCTTTCAATACCAATGTATCTTCAATGTCTTGTCTCCATCTTCGCGGTGGTCGACCTCTGCCTTGCCTTCCACAAACTGCACCTTCGGTCGATCCCTGCTTTGCCATCCACAAACTGCAACTTCTATCACCGTATTTTCCAAGCCACCATGATGGGACAGGATGCTGTTTATAAGCCAGTTCTCCTTGATGTTCAACTCGTTCAGAATGTCAATGTTTTTCCTTTTACTGATGAAAAGCTCCAATCTGTTTCTTCAGTGACTGAGTGAGAGTCCAAGACTCACAACCGTAAGTTGCCGCAGGAAAAAAAATCATGATCTCAAGATTTTTACTGTAACCAATTTACTAGTGCTTTGCCATAGGTTCTTACTTACTTACTTAGTCGCTCCTCTTCTACCTGGGGGTGTAGAGGTTTGCCAGAGAGATCGCCAGACGTCTCTATCCGCAGTTTTCTTTCTGGCTTTGTTCCATTCCAGTCCTCTGTCAGTTAGGGACTGTTGGATGTTGTCTTCCCAGTGCACCCTGGGTCGTCCCGGAGGTCTGGTTCCCTGGTTCTTAGCCTCCCATGCTTGCCATGGTGGCCGATTTTCTCCCATTCTGCATACATGTCCAAACCATCGTTACTGTGACTGATCTACTCGGGTTAGTAAGGGCTGGGCATCAAGATCTTGACGTATTGTCTGATTGCGGACTTTGTCCCTTTTTGTCACTTGGACCACCTTTCTCAGGTATCTCATTTCCAAGGCCTGCAGCTGGCTTCTGTGAGCTGTTGTCATTGCCCATGACTCACACCCATAGGTCAAGAGCCATAGGTTCTTCATTCTGTTTAATCTCTGCATTGTCAATGCAAGTCTTCTTCTGACTTCTTCAGTCGCCACTGTTGTTCACTAAAGAGCCCAAGTATTCGAAATCTGTGACATTTTCTATTTCTTCATTTTCAATTGTGATATGTGGTTGGTGTTGCTGTATTTACTTTTTTTTTTAAATTCAGAACAGCCTGTCACCCTGGTAATGTTAAATAAGTGGGTCATGACCCTGAGAAAAAATCCCCCCTCCCCCCCCCCCCCCCAAAAAAAAAAAGGTTTCACACAGATCACTAATAAATTTTGGTTATGGACCACGAGGTAGACCAAGAAGATGATGGAATGATGGAGAGATAATGTCCAGACAGACCTACAAACACTAGGTGTCACCAACTGGAAAGAGAAGGCCAACTAGAGAGATAAGTGGAGGCACATGATATCTGCAGCAATGATTCTCAAGGGCTCGGAATGCTGAAGAAGGCCAACCAGAGAGATGAGTGGAGGCAGGTGATATCTTCAGCAATGAACCTCAAGGGCTCGGAATGCTAAAGAAGGCCAACTAGAGAGATGAGTGGAGGCGGTGATATCTGCAGCAATGAACCTCAAGGGATTAAAACTCTGAAGAAGAAGATGAAGACTTAATACATTTTGTAAACGCAGCTTTCTGATGCTTTCAATGACCCCAAAACATCTAGAACTGGCCCTAACCCCAACCCACCTACATCCCATGAGAGAGTGCAGCCTAGGTCCCACGACTGCATGCAGCCTAGTTCCCACCACTGCATGCAGCCTATCTACCACCCCCTGAAATATTTGACTGTCCCGTGACCTGTGGATTGCCCCTGTTTGGAGTAGGATATTAATAAAGCGCTATTTTCTTGGCAGATTGAACTGATAGAGATGGCCAGAACCCTGGCACAGAAGATGTTGTTTGAAGGGAAGCACGAAGAGTCAGTCCCCGCAGCCATGCTGAGCCTAAGATATGCGATTGATGTTTATGGAGTGTCAACTATCGAGCTCGTACCTTCCTACTTAATCATGGCTGAGGCTAGCATTGGTATGATGATTATTATTTGAGTTAGACGGTAGTTTCCTCGTAACTATATGCAAAATTGCTAAACTGGACATGCTTGAGCCTCGACCAGCTCCATTTGACAGGAAGTGCTGCTGAACGTCACCGGGTCAGGCTAAGGACGCCTTAACGCAGCGGTTCTCAAACAAGAAATTAATTATTTTGTTTGTGGCAAGTTATTTTTCAGTATCTACATGCCCTCTTTAATAATTTCACAATTTTTAGCCAAATTTTCTTAATTATTGCAGTCACCCCTGGCATATGCTCACGGCACCCCAGGGTGTCTCGGTACCCAGTTTGAGAACCACTGCATTAACACATCATTAGCCCGACCTGGTGACATCAGCAGCAGGGCCCATCAGCTGGAGCTGGTCGTGCTTGAACAGTCCTCTTCTTCTTCATTTTCTTTGTTTCGCCGGCTGAAAGCTCAGAAAGTTCTGCTTGTTTGTCCAATTGGACTTTAGCTTTGTGACAGTGCCGGAGTTTTGCGTGTACATCCGTTTTACTGGCTTATTTGTGTGCAGCTGATTGTTTCTTGCCACTCAGGGAGATGCATTCTGAGTTTGAAGGAAGCTCCCATGTCGTAGTCAACTCCTAGGACATGCTTGTTGGGGAGGCAGTGGGTCTGTTCTTGTTTCTCCCACAATGGGGTCCCAAAATCCACACAAGAAGCTCAAACAATCCAATGGGGCAGTAGTAGCCATGTGCAGTGGGGAGCGAGGGGGAGTTTAAGCTTCTCCTCCTCCTCCTCATTTTCTTTTTCTTCCTCTTTTTCTTCTTTTTCTTCTCTTCCTCCTCCTCCTCCCCCTCCTCCTCCTCCTTTTTATCTTCTTCTTCTTCTTCTCTTTAAACCTTAGCCTTTAAAAATGTAGTTAATACATTTTGTTGTAGTTTGCAGCTAGGCTAAACTATGTAGGCCTTGTGCCCAGCATGCCCAGTTTTTCAGCAAATCCTTATGTCGCCTTTTGGGATATTCTTGTTAACTGAAAATTAATGAGTCAGTTCTTGTTCTTCTTCTCTAATCCGTTTTCTACCTTTCAGTGTAAGGTTCTAAAAATGCATTTTCGAGCCATTAACTAGCTGATTTTCGTTGATATTCAAATTTTTACAATGTAAATATTTCTTTTTTTCTTGGTCTTTCTGTAGTATTTCAGCAAAAAGGCATAAGTTTCTAAAAGAATACCAGATAGTCGACAGCTCACATTAATGTGGCGCTACAGGAAAGATGCACGCTCTCAGAATATTGATATTAATTTGCTTTGATTTGCCATAACCAATTTAACTTATTCTTCTACTTCATGTTCACCTGCTATAAACTCTAGCCAAAAGTTCTGGTTGTTTGTCCACCTCTGGACTTTAGTCTTGTTCCAGAACCTGAGTGTTGCATGTACATCTGTTTTACAGATCACAAATTTTTTTTAAATGCAGACTGTTGGTTCCTTGCCTCTCAGACAGATGTACTCCGACTTCAAAGGAAGCCCTCAGTTAGTCGAATCTTACGACATGCTTTTTGGGGAGGCAGTGGGTCTATTCTTATTTGCTTCACAAAGTGGCTCCGGAACCCACAGGGGGAAAAATGTAGTAATAATAATTAAACAAATAGTGGCTTTTAAACTGAATGCTATAGAAACATTCTTAGAATACAAAATTTGAGGTTTTGTACAATGGATCAGCATTATGGCACACGGGTGTAACCCATAAGCGCTCCATTCTTCTTCTAACTTAAGTCTGAGTCCAAAGAAGCTCAGCACAGTGTACAGGCTCTGTAGCACCGGCGAGGATCATGAAATACTTTGGGTAGATTTTTAACTCCAAATTTTGCCTGGGCAACACCGTTAGGCTACTCATTTTGCTTTCCAACTGCCAAGGGATTTTTTTACCTGCGCAACAATACACACGGGCGTACGATCTCACTACCCAGAGACCAGAAGGAATGACTAGAAGTCGAAGTTCATGTTGAAAAAAATCCCAGCCCTTACCAGGGATTGAACCCGGAACCTCTAGCACTCGAGGCAGACACCACACCTAGAGACCACGCAGTCTCTCTTAGAACACCATGGACCATGAAGAAGACAAACACAGACATCCTACATGATCTGAGCACTGATGAAGGAGAATTTGCTCATAAACAGCACACTGTCCAGACAGGGAACCATTTAACTGTTAACTGATTTGTGAAATATAAAACACTTGTTTTTATCTTTAACGAAACAATACATTTTGTCAGGTTTAGGCAACCTGGTGCAGGCAGAGGAATACCTGGCCAAAGCTGACTGGACGATTCTGAAGACGCCAGATTGCACCAAGGCAATCAAATCTAGGTTGTACAGGAATCTTGGTCTCTTGTACGTGGCCAAAGGGGACTTTCAGGAGGCTCTTGTCAACTTTGCTGATGATGTAAGTTAAGTGTTTAAATGAATTAAATTTGTGTGTACCAAGTCAATAGGACAGGCATTACATCATATATATGTTTTAAATGGTCAGAACATGATATCTGGAATTTTATCTTGTTTTATTAAGATCCAGAAAGTCCCTCATTGAGTCACTTAGTCTTTCAGGCTAAAATCATGGAGGTAAGAAAAAAAATATGTTTCTTCTTCTTCTTCACTTCCTCTTTTACCGGTGTGGGTGTGGTTTCTAGCTCTTCTGGCTGCCTCGACCATAGACACATCGTGCTGTTGTAGAATTTCTCTGATGTTATCCTTCCATCTTGTTCTTGGTCTACCCCGTGTTCTACATCCTTCTTCTCTTTCCATGTATGCTTTGTATGGTATGGTGTCACAAGGCATTCTCTCAAAGTGGGCAAACCATTTCACTTGCTGTCTTTGTACGTAATCCAGAATTGGTTCTGTGCCGACTTGTTCTCTTATGATCTCATTCCTGATCTTATCTCTTATGGTCACTCCTACAGCCCTTCTCAGACATCTCATTTCCGTGGTTACCAATTTTCTTTTATGGTTTGTTGTGAGTGACCATGTCTGGCACTGGTAGCACAGAGTTGGAATAAATATGCTTTGAATAAGATGTCTCTTTGTGCTGATTGGGATTGTCTTATGCTGTAAGAGGGGGGCTAGCTGTCCCAATACTTGGTTTGCTTTACTGCATCTAATGTGAATTTCTTTATCCAATTTCCCATCTTCGGTAAATGTAGTTCCCAGATATATATGTTTAAATGCTTTAAATTGTACGTGTACCTGTTATCTCACAGTATTTTTTGGGGGGTGGGGGGGGGGGGGGGGGGGGGGGGGGGGGGGGGGGGGGGGGGGGGGGGGGGGGGGGGGGGGGGGGGCATTAGGGGATGGGAGAATGGAGAGTGAAAAGCAACAATGAAATTCATATGATTAAATCACCAGTAACTACTATCATCAAGAGTCTGTGATTGTGGAGGCATTTGAAGATAGTGGCAAATAACAGAGAGACAAAAGAAATGCTTATAAAAAAAGAATAAAGTGAGAGTAGACCACAAGACAGGCCACAAGACAGACCACAAGACAGGCCACAAGACAGGCCACAAGACAGACCTCAAGACAGACTAAAAGACAGACCACAAGACAGGCCACAAGACAGGCTACAAGACAGGCTACAAGACAGACCACAAGACAGGCCACAAGACAGGCCACAAGACAGGCCACAAGACAGACCACAACAGGCCACAAGACAGACCTCAAGACAGACTAAAAAACAGATCACAAGACAGACCACAAGACAGGCTACAAGACAGACCACAAGACTGACTGCAAGACAGACTACAAGACAGACCTCAAGACAGACTAAAAAACAGATCACAAGACAGACCACAAGACAGACTACAAGACAGACCACAAGACTGACTACAAGACAGACTACAAGACAGACCACAAGACAGACCACAAGACAGACTTCAAGACAGACTACAAGACAAACTGAGAAGGTAGTGAAGAGACAGTATGTGTGCAGACCTATGGAAACTTGGGATTCACCAACTGGAAATAGAGGGCCAAACACAAAGGTGAATGGAGATGAGAGATATCTGCAGCAATGAATCTAAAGAGCTATAGAGGGCCAAACACAAAGGTGAATGGAGATGAGAGATATCTGCAGCAATGAATCTAAATAGCTATAGAGGGCCAAACACAAAGGTGAATGGAGATGAGAGATATCTACAGCAATGAATCTAAAGAGCTATAGAGGGCCAAACACAAAGGCGAATGGAGATGAGAGATATCTGCAGCAATGAATCTAAAGAGCTATAGAGGGCCAAACACAAAGGTGAATGGAGATGAGAGATATCTGCAGCAATGAATCTAAAGAGCTATAGAGGGCCAAACACAAAGGTGAATGGAGATGAGAGATATCTGCAGCAATGAATCTAAAGAGCTATAGAGGGCCAAACACAAAGGTGAATGGAGATGAGAGATATCTGCAGCAATGAATCTAAAGAGCTATAGAGGGCCAAACTCAAAGGTGAATGGAGATGAGAGATATCTGCAGCAATGAATCTAAAGAGCTATAGAGGGCCAAACACAAAGGTGAAGAGAGATGAGAGATATCTGCAGCAATGAATCTAAAGAGCTATAGAGGGCCAAACACAAAGGTGAATGGAGATGAGAGATATCTACAGCAATGAATCTAAAGAGCTATAGAGGGCCAAACACAAAGGTGAATGGAGATGAGAGATATCTGCAGCAATGAATCTAAAGAGCTATAGAGGGCCAAACACAAAGGTGAATGGAGATGAGAGATATCTGCAGCAATGAATCTAAAGAGCTTTAGAGGGCCAAACACAAAGGTGAATGGAGATGAGAGATATCTGCAGCAATGAATCTAAAGAGCTATAGAGGGCCAAACACAAAGGTGAATGGAGATGAGAGATATCTGCAGCAATGAATCTAAAGAGCTATAGAGGGCCAAACACAAAGGTGAATGGAGATGAGAGATATCTGCAGCAATGAATCTAAAGAGCTATAGAGGGCCAAACACAAAGGTGAATGGAGATGAGAGATATCTGCAGCAATGAATCTAAAGAGCTATAGAGGGCCAAACACAAAGGTGAATGGAGATGAGAGATATCTGCAGCAATGAATCTAAAGAGCTATAGAGGGCCAAACACAAAGGTGAATGGAGATGAGAGATATCTGCAGCAATGAATCTAAAGAGCTATAGAGGGCCAAACACAAAGGTGAATGGAGATGAGAGATATCTGCAGCAATGAATCTAAAGAGCTATAGAGGGCCAAACACAAAGGTGAATGGAGATGAGAGATATCTGCAGCAATGAATCTAAAGAGCTATAGAGGGCCAAACACAAAGGTGAATGGAGATGAGAGATATCTGCAGCAATGAATCTAAAGAGAAAGATATAGAAGGCCAAACAAAGAAAAGGTGACAAAGAGATGAGAGATATGAGAGCAACAATGATCTAAAGAGCTATAGAGGGCCAAACACAAAGGTGAAGGGAGATGAGAGATATCTGCAGCAATGAATCTAAAGAGCTATAGAGGGCCAAACACAAAGGTGAAGGGAGATGAGAGATATCTGCAGCAATGAATCTAAAGAGCTTAGAAAGAGCTTAACTCTACCAGACCGATGTCCCGCTATTACGGAGTTTCCTAATCTGCTGCTAAACCAGTGTCCCTCAATGTCGGGAATTTGTGTACTACGTGAAAAAAGAAGAAAGAAGAAGAACGAGAAAAATAATTGAAGAAAAACAACAACAACATCATCAAGGATTAGGAAGAAAAGAAGGAAGAAAGAAGAAGAAAGAAAGAATAAATAAAGAAGAAGAAAGAAAGATAAAGAATGAAGACGAAGAAAGAAAGAAAGAAAGGAGAAAAGAAAGAAATAAAGAAAGATTCAAAAGAAAGGGAAAGAAGAGGTGGAAAGAAAGAAGAAGAAAGAAAGAAAGAAAGAAAGAAAGAAAGAAAGAAAGAAAGAAAGAAAGAAAGAAAGAAAGAAGAAAGAAAGTGAAAAGAAAGAAAGAAAGAAAGAAAGAAAGAAAGAAAAGAAAAGAAAGAAAGAAAAGAAATGAAATAAATAAATAAATAAATAAAAAAAGAAAGAAAGGAAGTTTTGTATTTGGCCCATATGGAAGTAATATTGTCACTAATACATACTTCAGACGTCAGCAGTGACTTTTTGGGAATGAAAATAAATAGAGCTCAGCCAGTGGTTTTGAATCTTTTCAGATGATGCCCGCCCCCTCCACCCCGAGTGAATATCAGGCAAGATCCCCTCCCCTCCCTTTTACCCCCCTTTTTTCGACTACCCCCTAATGTTCCTTGAAGTACAGTCTTTGCTATCGAATCATGTCTCACCACACGTCAAACCATGCTAGCTTGTGACATTTCAAGACTTGTTGGGGAAGAGGCGCTTCCGAGAGGAAATACAATTAATATATTTTACTCTTTGACATATTTATTGATTTTGTGTTCCGAAAAACCAATGTTGTCAGTGAAGATGGGTCTGTAGCTTTCTCATTCCAAGATTGTTCCTGAAATCGTTCTTTCTATTTCCACTTGAGAGTCCAAGGGAGATTCACATCCCTAAAGGAAATATTGTTGAACACCTTTCATAGATTGTTGACAGGCTTCTTAGTAGGAAAATCATGAGGCGAGGATCCTGAAAAGAGATGAAGAAGTAGTAAGATTATTGACAATGATCTGAATGTTGTTTTCAGATTTACAATTCATCACACGAGTTTGGACGGACTTTTTTTATTCGAACTTCCATGAGGGATACTGTTGATTCAGTGAGGAGATGTTTTTTCCAGTGAGGGAGATTGTTGACTCAGTGAGGGAGATTGTTGACTCAGTGAGGGAGATTGTTGACCCAGTGAGGGAGATTGTTGACTCAGTGAGGGGGGGGAGATGTTGACTCAGTGATGACTCTGGAGGAGATTGACCATGGAGCCCCCGTTACTTTAGGAAGATTGTTACGAGGTGGGGGGGATTGGTGACTTCTTAGTGTGGTAGATTGTTTACAGAATGACTCAAGGGATTGTTAAACATAACCCTAGACCCGTCTTTCTCTGTCTCATACTTGATGAATAAGTGTATGATAACTTATTCCTGTCCATTTATTGATGATGTCATTCTAGGTTCTTCTTTACCCTCTTCTTCTTCGACTACCCTCCAATGTTCCTTGAAGTACAGTCTTTGATATCGAATCATGTCTCACCACGTGCTCAAACCGAGCTAGCTTGTGACATTTCACCCCTGCCAAGAGACGCTTCTGATGTCCGGTAAATACAATTAATATATTTTGTCTCTGACATATTTATTATTTGTGTGTTCTAAAAAACTAATTTGTAAAATGGGTCTGTAGCTTTCTCATTCCAAATCCTGAATCCTTCTTTCTATTTCTACATTGAGAGTCCAAATCTCACATCCCTAAAGGAAATAGACAACACCTTTCATAGAGACCCGTGACCTTCTTATAGGAAAATCACTGGCGAGGAGTCTGAAAAGAAGATGAAGAAGTAGTTACATTATCTGACCAATATCTGAATGTGTTTCAGATTTACAATTCATCACACGAGTTTGGGACGGATGATATTCGAACTTCAGGTGGATACTTCCACATGGCGAATGTTTTCTTCAGGCAAGGAAGGAGGGATATCGCTGACTCCATGTACAAACAGGTGATATTTATGTTTTAGACAAGGAAAGTGAGAATATTGTTGGCTTTTTCTGTTTCCAAGTTTAGTGTCTGAGATTGAGTTTTTGTCCCATGGGTTTTTGTGCCATGAGTTTTTGTGCCATGAGATTTTGTGTCATGAGTTTTTGGGCCATTAGCTTTTGTGCCATAAGTTTTTGGGGCAATAATTTTTGTGCCATAAGTTTTTGGGCCACAAGTTTTTGTGCCATAAGTTTTTGGGGCATTAGTTTTTGGGCCTTAAGTTTTTTGGCCATAAGTTTTTTGGCCATAAGTTTTTGTGCCATAATTTTTGGGCCATAAGTTTTTGTGCCATAAGTTTTTGAGCTATAAGTTTTTTGTGCCATACATTTTTGGGCTATAAGTTTTTGTGCCAATAGTTTTTGTGCCATAAGTTTTTGGGCCTTAATTTTTTCGGCCATAAGTTTTTGTGCCATAAGTTTTTAGGCCATAACTTTTTGTGCCATGATTAATGGCACAGCATCTGCAGTTGTCTTGTATTTTGTCCGTCCCCGCATGTCGGGGTTTATTATGTTTGTCCCAGTGAGGGTTCCTTGTTGTCTGTTTTTCCTCCTGTTTATGCTTCCTCCTGTTTATGCTTCCTCCTGTTTATGCTTCCTCCTGTTTATGCTTCCTCCTGTTTATGCTTCCTCTTGTTTGGCTGTCATTGTGTGTTAATATGTCATATGCTACTTCTGATTATGATTTTATGGGAGGAAAACGAATTCCACCACGATCAACTTGCTGTGAACAGCTTTGGTTATAACTGTGGTCTGGTTTCTTTGTACCTAGTTATTTGGTAAAGATATGTTATTTATGCCAAGTTTACTGGCTTTAACAGTTTTTGTGATGTTATAAATGGCAGTGTCGCTATTTGTGGGCCGTGCTGTGCGTCTTTACTTGTCGGGGTGCTCTATTTCGGTCCTTTGGTTTAGGTGGGTTTCTTTTTTTTTGCCTCCTAATTGAGGCTTTGTGATGAGGTGCTTTGCATGGTATCCACGATTACATTGTGGCAAGCAGAAAGTCCGTGCAACAAGGGATAGCACGAGATACTTGTGCCTAGTCGAGTAAGCGAGGGACAGCCCGAGCGAGACTCGTGGTCAGTTGATCAACAGAAGTCAGAGAAGACGGTCGTAGTAATTGAAGATGTAGTCTTTATGTCGCGCGAATGGTTAGTGTTTGAATTTGTCGTAAGCGATGAAAGTGAGAATAATTGTTTGAACATGTGGAAGAAATGGACCAGAATAAACTGACCGAATGTACAAAGAAGCTGAGTAGCGTTTGTGTTTGTCAACCCTAGACGTTAGAGCAGTGCGAGTTTTGTAGCAGTAAACATCCAGAGAGTGAGCCGTGGCAAAAGCCAATATGTAGGAGTCAAGGTGCATGACGAGTAAAGCCGGTGCAAACCAAGGTTCATTCCAAGTCAAGCCACACCTCATTCCAGGCTTTAACAGTTGTATTTATGAGTTGGGGTAATTCTTAGAATGTCATGGACCAAGAAGAAGAGAAACACCAACATCCTACATGATCTGAAACATCGAGGAGAATTGGCTCACAAACAGCGAATGCTGAGGTGTTGTTGCCATGTTAAATGTTTTGGTGGCTTGGAGAGAACGATGATGGAGAGTACAGTTTCCAGAAAATGAGGCAGAGGTAGACCTCCGTGAAAGTGGATCAAGAAGAACTAGCTCATAAACAGCATCCTGTCATGAAAGCTAACATATTTTGGCCATGTTAAGTATCATGGGGGCCAAGTGAGAACGGTGATGGAGAGTACACTTTCTGGAGAAGGAGACAGAGGTAGACCTCTGCGAACAGGGATAGAAGACATTGAAGATGTAATGGTTATGAAAGCACATAGGGGTGAAGAACTGGCTAGAGAGAGGGACATTTAGGAACACTGTGATGAGAGCAGTGCTCTGTGAAAGACTTGTTTATTGATGATGATAAAGGAGGTTACTCTCTTTGTATTGTAGTGAATTCCCGGGGAAATCCCAGAGAGTTCCCAATTGGGGGGACAAGATCAGAGGAAAAGTGAAACCTGAGGAAAGCGAGATAAGCAGGTCTCGAGTATCCCGTGGTGAGTGAATAGGGATACAAGGAAAGCGTGAGACTTGAACCGAAGGTGTGAACCCAGAGAGGGTAGGAATTCAGTTGAAGTTTGGACCTGGATGTGTGTGGTCGAATGCAAGAGAACAGCTGAGAAGAATGCAAACCGTCTGACCAGGTGTAATTGTTCGTGAGCAGAAATGAATGTCTACTGACTGCATGTTTCGATTGTGTACAGGTACAAGAAACAAGAGGTCAGCCTGATCCAGGTGTATGATCTGAAAGGTAATGGCAGAGAGAAGCACCGTGTAAGATAGTTGGCAAGGTCATCAGGAATCAGTCATGTGTAGCAACCACGAGATCACAAGAAGCGCATAGACAGTGCAGTTGTTGGAACAGCGAATAATGATCAATAACTGAGTGTTCGTCGTCTGGTGTATTCTCAGTAACTGTGTGTACCTAAGAACGTCAATATAGCAATGTGACGAGTTAAATCAAACCCTTTTGCAGAGCCACATTGCACTCTTGTATCCAGTTTAAAAGTTTTGTTGCTAATCTAATGAGTCCTGTATCCTGTGCCATTACTTTAGTTTCTAACACATCTGACCTCCCTCCAGGTAATCAGCATCTGGTACGAATACCTAAACCACACACTGACAGTCAACATTTCTGCTCAAGAAGATGAATCCAGGCGCAAGTCCAAAATGTTGAACTCGGCTAAGACTTTGATGGAGGAGATATCAAGCGGGTTAGGTAATTCTAACCTGTGTGTTTTCAGTAATTTGGTGCAGTGGGTCTGTTCTTGTTCTCCTCCCCCCCCCCCCCCCACACACACACAATGGGGCCCCAGAATCCACACAGGGAGCTTGAACAATTCAAGGGGCAGCATTAGCCATAGACTCCACTGTGTGTGTGCAAATATATAAAAGGTCTTTGATTACATGTCGCATAAAAAAATATTGTTAACTAGTCATCCCCTTGTGAGATGCAATTTTTGTTATTTTGAAGCCCCACCCTGGCTCTTGCCAGGGGCTGCAATACAGCCCGACCATAAAAATGTGCAGTGTGGAGCGAGGAGGAGGCTTAACTCTTTAAGACCCGAGCAACGCTGTCAGCCTCAATCGTGTGTCCCGTACATATTGCTTTGCACATGGCTCTGTACTTTTTGTAATGTTCGGAACTACGATTAAAGTATTCAGGGAAAGTCACTTTAACGATTTCCTTTTAACAACATTCCCTATTCCAAGCCACATGTGCATAGATTGATAGGATTCATAGCTACAATTTTTTTCAACAGTGCATTTTCTAAGTTCGTTTTCAAGTGCAATGAATACCAATGTTCCAACCACACGTACAGGTGGCAGAATGCGTCTTTCTGCAGCCAAAGCTCTGAAATTGTTTCAGTCAGATGTTTTTAATTCTGATAATGATAATACAAATTTATATTTTTCGGAAAGTGATTTGGAAAGTGAATTTTCACCAGCGAAGCTGAGCAATCAGCTGTTGGAAATCTATAGATTCTGATGAGTTTACACAGATAATGTCCAATTGCTACTGTATTTATGGTGTAAGAGAAGGAAAGTGCTCCAAACAAAGAGACAGTACTATACTATGGCTAAGCTACATTGAAATCATTGTAGCTACAGTCTGTATATAACTGTACAAAGTAAATAGTCTGTGTGTAATGGCCTATTTTTCTGCCATTTTGCTCAGCACTCTGTGAGAACTAAGAGTTCCTGAGTGCTAAACTAACCCAGAAACTTATCATAACTTTGGAATTTGTTAGGAAATTGAACAAACTTGGAAGTGTTAAATTGGGATATTCACTACTATTGTGGCTGCAAAACCATGGTAAATGAAGAATTTGCTTGTAAAATGTTGTTGTTAAATTAACACCTGCTGAATTCTTCTTTCCTACTAACTATAACAAAATTAAACATGCACTTATCATCAGATTCAAAATGTACATTAATTTCTCTTTAAAAAAAATATATACTTTTAAAGGGATTATAAGTATATTACCTTATCTACTGCCTTTCTTGTACACCAACGGCAACCCCTCTATCATTTTTGTAAAGGGAAATTAATGTGAGCCAAGTCTGTCAAAATGCATGGGCCTGAAAGAGTTAAGGCTTCTCCTCCTCTTCCTCCTCTTCATCATTTTTTTTTTCTTCGAAAGAAGAAGGAAGAAGAAAAAGATCTATTTTACAGATCTGGCTTATTTATATATGTTGGTTACTTGTCTCTCAGAGAGATGAATTCTAACTTCAAAGGAAATAATTAAATTGATTTATGGAAGTGAATCATGGACAGGTAGTAGATTTGTGTGAAATAATATTTAAGCTGTTGAGATGTGCTCTCATAGAAGAATTATAAGAACGCCGAGGATTAGTATACAAAATCTGTAATAATATCCTTCAGATATTCTCTCTAGGTAATCCCGGTGTGTTGGGAAGTGAGCAGGCAGATAGACTGGCCGGTTCTGCACCACTTGGTGGTGAACTGATGTATGACAAGCTAGATGTTGTGAGGGCCCTTTGGGAGCGAGTGAACAGTGCAGAAGAACAGAATGATGATTATGGTCTGAGGAGAATTGCGCTGCGAGGAGTTGCCAGGAGTTCTGGCAGAAGCTCAGCACTCTAGGGAAAGGCCAGACTGATATACAGTCAGACAGTTACTGGTGCCAAAGGAATTGGAATTCTTCGTTTGCTGCTGAAGATGGGGATAGAGTGCTTATGGGAGTGTCCCGAGTGCCATCATGTTGATTCCTAATTCAACATAATGGTAATAACAGGGCTCCTGGTCGGTATAGCAGAAAGGCAGGAGTACCGTTTTTGGTCAAGGAAAGTTTTTGCTTCTGACAGTATAATTATCTGTTACATTTTCCTTCATATGTTGACTGAAAGGTTACAGTTTCATTGCCCAGCTGCTGAGCTCAGGGCCTGGTTGCAACACTGTAAGCTGTAGATTTCATTTTGATTGTGAACTGCAGGTTTAGAAAATGGTGAGTGTGATGGTGCCAGAGAACTGGTGATGCCTTGTGCAATTTAAATCTAATCTGCTTTCCTAGTACCAGACCGTTTGTGTTGGCACTTCTGGAACTGGCGGTGCCTTAGGCAATTAAAATCTAATCTGCTTTCCTAGTACCAGCCCATTTGTGTTGGCACTTCTGATGGCTGCCTTTTGCACCTAATACTTTTGTGTGCTATTGACTTTGCTAAGGCTGCCGTCTGTGTCATTTTTTTTTCACAAGGGACAGTATGTGGGTTTCTTTGACACAGGAATGTAGCAGCTATGGGGTGTGACCCATTGGCCATTAAATTCTGAATACTGGTCCTAAATTATTCACTGTTTAAAAAAAAAATCCTATTCAGAGCCTCAAAAGGTCATATAGTTAAAAATATTGAATAAGAACACTACAAACTATGCTTCCCGTTATTATATAATTTCATGGAACCAAACTCTCGAGTCTTTAGTAGTACAGTTGTAAGTATTTCACTTATCACGCGGGCTACTGGTGTTCGATTCCCCGCAGGGTGATAATGTTTTTTTTCCCAAACCTTTAAAAGTGCGGTTGGCACGTTGTGTTGTGGTTTACAGCTAGGCTGTGATATCTGCGCCTATAGTTCGGTTTTGTGGTTTACAGCTAGACTGCGATAGTGGCGGCGAAATGCTCAATGGTCATGACACGGGTATGTAATCTTTTTTTCTTTTCGTTCACCCTTGAAAGGGTGATTGGCATGTTGTGTTGTGGTTTACAGCTAGGCAGTGATATCTGCACCTTTCGCCCCAACATCCGATATTAGCAAAGTCGTAATTAGTCACCCTTTACAACATACTTTTTAGGTGATAGTGTATCTATTCCCTCCCCTCCCCCTCCCCAACTTGTGGCTCTGGAACCCACAAGGCAAGTCACGGGTAATGTAAACAATAGATCAAAAACTATTCCTCCCCACGATGCTTTAATGGATCGAAAACTACTTCTTCCCATGACGCTTAAACAATGGATCGAAAACTATTTCCTCCCATGACGCTTAAACAATGGATCAAAAACTATTCCTCCCCACGACGCTTTAATGGATCAAAAACTACTTCTTCCCATGACGCTTAAACAATGGATCAAAAACTATTTCTCCCCACGATGCTTAGCTTATCCATCAAGCAATAATGGCAGAAGTGGCAACTGATGATGATGGCCTAAATGTTTTTACTACATAACCTCTTGAGGCTCTCAAACGGATGTTTTTCGCATTAAATAATTTGGGACCGGTGTTTGGAAGAGTGCCAGAACTGAGATTACATGATTACATGTAAAAAACATTTAATTTGGGGCCAGTCTTCTAATTTGTTGAGACCATTTCCATGTTAACAGATGAAGCACAAGAAGCTGAAGCCATACAAATCCTAAGCTCAATCCACAACATTAAGGAACATCAGCCAGACAGGCAGTCCAAAGATTTGGCACAAACTTGTCATAACCTGGCCATGCTGTATTTCCTAATGGGTGATCTTAACAAGGTATGTGTGTGCGTGTTCTTTTTTTAATGGGTGATCAATGTGTGTTTTATGTTCTTTTCCTAATGGGTGAGTCTTAACAATGTATGTGTGTTATTTTCTTAATGGGTGATCTTAACAAGGTATGTGTATACAGAGACAGTTTAGTGTCAAGAGACAAAAGAAGTGCTGTTAGCAAAAGTTAATGGTCTTCGTTTGGTGCAGGAAAGCCTAGTATATGAAACCACCACATTCAGCTTGAGAATGGAGCAGCAGGTGGTCACTGCAGCTTTACACTGGCTAGAGAAGACAATACACATACACACATATCATGATTGTAACTAACTGCTAAAGCATGCGCTTGAAGGTGAGAATGAGCATGCTTCACGCAGAGTGGTGTGCTTCATGTAGAGTGGTCTGCTTCATGGAGAATGGTGTGCTTCACGCAGAGTGGTGTGCTTCATGCAGAGTAGTGTGCTTCATGCAGAATGGTGTGCTTCATGCAGAATGGTGTGCTACATGCAGAATGGTGTGCTTTATGCAGAATAGTGTGCTTCATGCAGAATGGTGTGCTTCATGCAGAATGGTGTGCTTCATGCAGAATGGTGTGCTTCATGCAGAATGGTGTGCTTCATGCAGAATGGTGTGCTTCATGCAGAATGGTGTGCTTCATGCAGAGTGGCGTGCTTCATGCAGAATGGTGTGCTTCATGCAGAGTGGCGTGCTTCATGCAGAATGGTGTGCTTCATGCAGAATGGTGTGCTTCATGCAGAATGGTGTGCTTCATGCAGAATGGTGTGCTTCATGCAGAATGGTGTGCTTCATGCAGAATGGTGTGCTTCATGCAGAATGGTGTGCTTCATGCAGAGTGGCGTGCTTCACGCAGAGTGGCATGCTTCATGTAGAGTGGCATGCTTCACGCAGAGTGGCCTGCTTCATGTAGAGTGGCGTGCTTCATGTAGAGTGGCGTGCTTCATGTAGAGTGGCGTGCTTCATGTAGAGTGGTGTGCTTCATGTAGAGTGGCGTGCTTCATGTAGAGTGGCGTGCTTCATGTAGAGTGGCGTGCTTCATGTAGAGTGGCGTGCTTCATGTAGAGTGGCGTGCTTCATGTAGAGTGGCATGCTTCATGTAGAGTGGCGTGCTTCATGTAGAGTGATGTGCTTCATGTAGAGTGGCATGCTTCATGTAGAGTGACGTGCTTCATGTAGAGTGGCGTGCTTCATGTAGAGTGGCGTGCTTCATGTAGAGTGACGTGCTTCATGTAGAGTGGCGTGCTTCATGTAGAGTGGCGTGCTTCATGTAGAGTGGTGTGCTTCATGTAGAGTGGCGTGCTTCATGTAGAGTGGCGTGCTTCATGTAGAGTGGCGTGCTTCATGTAGAGTGACGTGCTTCATGTGGAGTGGTGTGCTTCATGTAGAGTGGTGTGCTTCATGTAGAGTGGCGTGCTTCATGTAGAGTGGCATGCTTCATGTAGAGTGGCGTGCTTCATGTAGAGTGGCGTGCTTCATGTAGAGTGGCGTGCTTCATGTAGAGTGGCGTGCTTCATGTAGCGTGGCGTGCTTCATGTAGAGTGATGTGCTTCATGTAGAGTGGCATGCTTCATGTAGAGTGACGTGCTTCATGTAGAGTGACGTGCTTCATGTAGAGTGGCGTGCTTCATGTAGAGTGGCGTGCTTCATGTAGAGTGGCGTGCTTCATGTAGAGTGACGTGCTTCATGTAGAGTGGTGTGCTTCATGCAGAGTAGCGTGCTTCATGTAGAGTGGTGTGCTTCATGTAGAGTGGCGTGCTTCATGTAGAGTGGCGTGCTTCAAGTAGAGTGGCGTGCTTCAAGTAGAGTGGCGTGCTTCATGCAGAGTGGTGTGCTTCATGTAGAGTGGCGTGCTTCATGTAGAGTGACGTGCTTCATGTAGAGTGACGTGCTTCATGTAGAGTGACGTGCTTCATGTAGAGTGACGTGCTTCATGTAGAGTGGCGTGCTTCATGTAGAGTGGCGTGCTTCATGTAGAGTGGCGTGCTTCATGCAGGGTGGTGTGCTTCATGTAGAGTGGCGTGCTTCATGTAGAGTGACATGCTTCATGTAGAGTGACGTGCTTCATGTAGAGTGATGTGCTTCATGTAGAGTGACGTGCTTCATGTAGAGTGACGTGCTTCATGTAGAGTGGCATGCTTCATGTAGAGTGACGTGCTTCATGTAGAGTGACGTGCTTCATGTAGAGTGATGTGCTTCATGTAGAGTGGCGTGCTTCATGTAGAGTGGTGTGCTTCATGCAGAGTGATGTGCTTCATGTAAAGTGGCGTGCTTCATGTAGAGTGGCGTGCTTCATGTAGAGTGGTGTGCTTCACGCAGAGTGGCGGGCTTCATGCAGAGTGGCTCTCAAGGCCACAGCTGAAAAGCAAAGTCTGGATTTTTTCTCCGGGTATGCCGGTGTCTTAGGAAATGAACAGACGGACAGACTGGCTGGCTCTGCACAACTTGGTGGAGTACTGATGCATAATAAGGCAGACAAGGTTAAGACTTTATTGGAGCATGTGTACAATTCGGAGGAGCAAATGGATCATCACAGTCTGGTGAGAGAGATGCAGCGGGGAATGACAAGAGGATCTGGCCAATACTCGAGGCTCAGAGGAAAGGCAAGATGGGCCTATAATCAGAATGCTACTGGTACCATTGGTATTGGAACTCTGCGCTGGCTGCTGAAGATAGGGATGGAGCGCTTATGTGAATGTCCCAAGTACTGTGGTGTTGGTTCTTGAATCAACTCAACTTAGGTGTTTATGTATGTTCTTTTCTTAATTTGTGAACATAACAGTATGTGTGTATCTTCGTCAGTTGTTGTTATTTTAGATGTCATACATTTTTAGATAACATACCAAAATCATACAGAAATGAATGTTTACAAATATATTTTTTTCCTCTAAAGGCAAAAGAATATGGCCGCAAGTCTATCGTTGCCAGTGACCAGGTCAAGGATGATAAATTCTCCAAATCTTTGGTTGAATTCATGAAATTGTGCGAGAGACAAATTGTTTCAAATTAAAATAACAAGATCAACGAGGGCTATTCTAAAATCAACCTCCAAATGGCTGGTAAAAATAGCCATAGCAAAACCGTTCATTGCTTTCATCATTCAGTAACCCATTAACTTACTAGACATCTGCTTTCAGTTACATTTGTTCAGGTTTAAGAATCGCAAATAAACATGGACACTTATTTCTTTTCACACCGGATGTGAAATTCATGGTGGGATTAATTTTTTTCAAGCAGAAGGTCAAAATGCTGCTGAAATTCATCAGTGATTTTGTGTAAGGTGATAGTGTTATGAGTGACACTTCTGTGAGAGACTGATGCAGGAAATTCAAAGATGGGTGTAAAGATGTACATTTTCAGGTTGGACAAGGACAACATTCATGGTTGACAGATGAGCTCATTCAAAAAGTTGACCAACTCGCACGAAAAACTGCGGTTTCACAGTTCAGATCTTTCTACAGAATTTCTATAAACTTTTAGGACCAACTGATAGATTTAATTTTTACCAGCCAATCAGATGGTTATTACGGAATGATACTTGTAATTTTACTTTATTTAAGTAGCTGTACAAGTGAGTAAAATCTGGCAAAAGGTGTACTTCTTCTTCTCTTCCACCTGGTACCTCAGCGAAGTGTCGGGGAGAGGTGTACCACAGAATTAAAGAACAGAACAGGACAGGCTAAAACTGCAAAATATAATATAAAAGATTCTTTATTGGATAAATCCATGTCGCTGGTGGTTTATAAAAGAATTCTTGCATGCCTTATAGAGCAAAATTTTAAGAAATAGCTGTGAATCCTGGACAATTAACAAACAATAAGAACGAGTTCTTGAGGTCTTAGAGACACACAGAAAGAGACCAAAAGACAGCACAAAATGATTCAAAAGTCAAAGATGGGCGAAAGGTGTACTTCTTCTTCTCTTCCACCTTGTACCTCAGCGAAGTGTCGGGGAGAGGTGTACCACAGAGTTAAAGAACAGAATAGGACAGGCTAAAACTGCAAAATATAATATAAAGGATACATAATTGAAAAAAATCCATGTCAGTGGATGTTAATAAAAGAATTCTTGAATGCCTTATAGAGCAAATTTTAAGAAATAGCTGTGAATCCTGGACAATAAACAAAGCAAGCCGAACAATTTCTTTAGGCTTAAAGACACAAAATCCCTTATGTTTTGAAAGAGGCGAGGGCTCGAAGACAATTTATCACAAACATCACAAAGAGACAGTTGTCATTTAAGCAGTCATTTTTTTTAGAAGAAGGAGACTGGAACATGTTGTGACCACTGGAAATATCTGTGGAAAGGGAGACAAGAAGACAACACCAGAAGATTCTTGACAGTCTTTTTGTCACAGCACGGAGGGTTGTCAGCCCATGAACTTGAACACGCTGTTGAAGATTGCAGGTTGTGGAGAGGAATGATTGCCCAGAGCATGTCGGCAAGACACTGGATGATGATTTTGATTTTACCGGTTTGACTCTTCACTCAGTGATATTCTATTTCTACCTTAACAAGTATGTATTTTACCTGTGAGGATTTTGTGTCTACTGTACGCGCTGAATTTTGATTTTCTGTAACTGTTTTCTCCTTTGTATAAGTTTGTTTATACTGTAAGCCGTCCCCATGTAGTAAAATTTTTTTCGTTATTTGAAGCCCCACCCTGGCTTTTGCCAGGGGGCCCTGAATATAGCTGGGACAGAAATGTGGCCATATCGGCTGAAAGATGTTTCTGGGACCTCTCCAGGGATGATCCTCATCCGCATCTTGGCACTGTGTGTCACCAGGTGTTTTTTGCTTGTGTGATGTCCTGATGGGGGTACAACAAGTAAGCAAGTATAAGTTTGTTTTTAATTCCATGAACTACTTGTTGTCGGTAACAACATCTTAGCATCGATGTAGATGTAGCAGCCATCTCAGTGTCTCCATGCCCAACGTCCCCAGCAGGACCTGACTGGCATACCATCTTTCTCTGCCCCACAACTTGTTTCTATATGAATAGTTAGTCAGCCAGTCAATCAGTTAGTCAGTCATTCAGCCAGTTAGTCAGTCAGTCATTCAGTTAGTTAGTCAGTCAGTCATTCATTCAGTCAGTTAGTCAGTCAGTCATTGAGTCAGTCAGTCATTGAGTCAGTTAGTCAGTCAGTCAGTAATTGAATCAGTTAGTCAGTCAGTCAGTAAGTCAGTTAGTCAGTCAGTTACAGTCAGTCATTTAGTTAGTTAGTCAGTCAGTCAGTCAGCTAGTTATTTAGTCAGTTAGTCAGTCAGTCATTGAGTCAGTTAGTCAGTCAGTCATTGAGTCAGCTAGTCAGTCAGTCAGTAGTTGAATCAGTTGGTCAGTCAGTCAGTAAGTCAGTTAGTCAGTCAGTTACAGTCAGTCAGTTAGTCAGTTAGTCAGTCAGTCAGTCAGCTAGTTATTTAGTCAGTTAGTCAGTCAGTCAGCTAGTTATTTAGTCAGTTAGTCAGTCAGTCAGCTAGTTATTTAGTCAGTTAGTCAGTCAGTCAGCTAGTTATTTAGTCAGTTAGTCAGTCAGTCAGCTAGTTATTTAGTCAGTTAGTCAGTCAGTCATTTAGGTTATCCTGATTGTACATCAGACAAGTCTATAAGCGCTTGGATCCCATCTTCAGTATATCCCTCAGCTTCTGGCGACTGGTAACACCAGTTCTGTATTGGTTTACTATTCTTCTTTGACTACCTATATAGTGTTTATGTTTGGTGACACCTCTTTTGACCTAAAGTGCCTGTAGTCTGTTGAGTGTTGCTGATTCAAGGTTGTCTCCTGAATCATCTTCAAGCCCTGCATCCTTGAGAGCATTGAGAATGTTGGCGGGGTCCATTACTTTTCCTGTACCTATCGTTGCCTTGCCAGCAAGCCAATCCGCTTGTTCATTGCCTCTTAACCTAGTTTTTCCTGGCACAAAAATTAAACTAACTCCTTTCAGACCAGATTTCCTCAGCAACTGCAGCCATTTTCTTCAAATCTTCTACTTGCTTTTCCTTGTTTAGTACCCATTTCCAACAAGTGGTTCAGGCCCCAGTTGAACGCTGAAATTTTTTCAAGTGGACTTCTAGGATGTCCTCTGGTCTCTGGGTAGTGAGATTCAGACACCCGTGTTGTATAGTTGCGCATGTAAAAAAATCCCTTGGCAGTTGGAAATTGAAAAGAGTAGCCTAACTGCATTGCCCGGGCAAAATTTAGAGTTTAAAATCTTCCCAAAATATTTCAGGATCTTCGGGGGTGCTACGGAGCCCGTGCACTGCGCTGAGCTACTTTGGACTCAGACTTGAGGTAAAAGAACGGAGCACTTATGGGTTACTACCCTTGAGCCACGAAGTTGATCCGTTGTTCAAAACTTCAAACTTCCAACAGGTGGTTCATCGTTCAGACTCCTCCTTTTCATAGTCTGTAGAATGTAGCACATTTAATATGTCTAGTGATCCCATCAGCAAACTCAACAGAAAACAACATGAAACTATTTTCCGTCTACGAACAGGACAGTACTGGCTCAACTACCACATGCATAAAATAAAGATTATACAGTCCCCACAGTGTGCCTGTCAAACAGGACCACAAACACCTCAGCACATTCTGCAGACCTGCCCACTCTACCTACAACTTCGTAAAGACACCTGGCCTAAGGACCAAAGTGTGCAGAGCAAGCTATGGGGAACCATGCAGGACCTGCAGCTGAGATGCGAGTTCATAGAGGCAACCCACCTGATGGTCTGATCTGAGCATACGAAACCGAACGCAAAGAAGAAGAAGAAGTATTTCTGCCCTATCCATACTTCTTCTTCCTTGCAACCCTTGCAGACACAGCCACTCTATCAGCTCTGTATATTGTTATTGTTTAATGTCTGAATTTTTGTAATTTTTATTATATTATTACATATTATATGTATGTATACCTGCAACTATTTCTGTCAGTCTATACATCTGTTTGATATGTGTATATGTGCATGTGCACATGTTTGTGCAAATGTGTATATGTTTGCGCATGTGTGTGTGTGTACGTGTGTGTGTGTGTGTGAGAGCATGAGAGTGTGATTGTGTGCATATGTGTGTGAAGGTGAGCATGTGTATGTATGTGTATGAGATGAGCATGTGTATGTGTCCATGTGATAGTGTGAATAGGTGTGTGTATGTGTAGGCATGTGTGTATGTTTTTTTTTTTTTAAATATCCAGAAACCATGAGTTGTAAACCCTTTGGCTCAGTACAATGGATATCACACACGTTGGCCTTGATTCCATGATAGGTACAGTAGCAGTAGTGAGAAATGTGGCTTTTTTGTCTACCCCCGGGTATGAACCCAGACCGCAAGGAGTTAGTCACCCGGTCGTCGCGAAGTCAGGTTTAGCCAACTACGCTAGCGAGCAGGGCATGTGTGTATGTAAGCATGTGCATATGTGTGCATTTAAGCATATGTAAACATACCTATGAGTATTTATGTTTGTGTATTAGTAATCATGTGTGCATGTAGGAATATGTGTGTATGTATGTGCATATGTGTGTATGTATGTGCATATGTGTGTGTACAGTTGCCACTCCTGCATTTGGGACTTTCCTCTATTCAGCAGTCCAGCAACCACTATTCCAATCTCCAACATTCCACTATCTGACATTCTAATAGCCAACATTTCATATTCCAAACTCCAACATTCCACAATCTGACATTCTATTATCTAGCAGTTCACTATCTAACATGTCAGTATCCAACATTTCACATTCCAGTGTTACACTACCAGTCCAGCATCCATCATTCTATTGTCTAATAGTCAAACATACCTCATTCCAGTCTCCAACTCTCCAATATCTGATATTCCACTTGCTTGTCTCCAAAATTCCACTATCCAATATTCCACTCCCCAATATTCCAGTATCCACTATTCAAATATACAACATCCTACAACATCCAAGTCTCTATTATTTCAACATGCAACCTCCAACATTTCGCTATGCAACATTCCACTTTCAAACAAGGGTAAAAGTTAAAGTAAGGCGGATCG